GCTCGCAGGGCCCGACCAAGTCGTGCCCGAGCCTAATGAAGAGGCCGCAGACGGAGTTCAGAAGGCACCCGTGACCGGTTTTCCCAAGCAGAGCAGACACCATCGTTCAAGCTTGGCCCGTCGGTCCCACGATCCGAGTGTACAGACAAGGGTGCCCGCTCGCGGTGGTGGCTTTTCGTTGCCGATCATGCCTTGCGGCTTTGCGAGGCGGTCTTCCTCACCGACCAGCAGGCGGTGGTGGTCCTTAACAGGAGAAAATTGTGCGGGTCTACTGGGCTTGCAAGCAGTCAGTTGGGCTTGACTCTGAAGGACTTCTGGACAAAGACGGCTTGAAACCACAAACGGGGTTTTCTTTCCGGCCGCTTACGAGAAGGTGCTGGAGGCTCTGGCTGTGTCAAGCGGCTTTCATCCCTCGCGGCATCTCTCCGTCTCTGCATAAACACCAAAACCAAAGAGGTGCGAACGAAATACGTGGTCCTGACCAATCAGGCTCTCCGGCCAGCGCTGCAGTTCTGGTATTTAGACAAGCCCTGCACCGGCAGGCCGCTGTGACAAGAGATGTCCTAGGTGGCCTGGCGGCATCTGCCACACCGCCACTCGCTCCAACGGTGCGCCTCAGGGATCAGTCCCTGTCGTCTTAGGTGCACTTACGATGATCAGTGGAGCAAGCGGCAGCACAGCTTTCTTCTTGCAGCCCTATGAGGCGAGGCGGAGCCGCTTGGTGATTATGAAAGACTGTAGCACTGCAGAGTCAGAGGAGCTGGTGGAAATGCAATGGTCCGTGTACGACTCTCCGGATGCACAGGCTCGGTGCTGCGGCATTTAAGGAGTTTGGGGCTTATGGTTCAGCGATGGGAGTAAGGGTGAGTGAAGAGATCCACAATCAGGCCTGATGTCTGCACATCTACCAGTTTCATCGTGATTGCGACGGTTTGATTTGCGTTGCTTGTCACGAGAGCGAGTCCTGTGAGGACTCAGCTGGAGTTGTGATGTATTCAGAATATACACTCGAAGGCACAAACACCTTATTCATTCAGTGAACATACGAACTGGCATAAGGCAGCATCGGTCGAATCCACTGTCCTATATCGATTCTAACTCTACTGAACACGAACCAAGAGTTTGTCGGGTTGGAAGTAACGAGGCAGGTGGGCCAGGCCTGTAGCCCAGTTTCTGACGAGTTCAACAAGGAAAGCCCCAGGGCTCTGGAGAAAACCCAAGAAGCGAGCGTCAGCTTTGTCTGCGACATATCACTCTTAGATCCTGATGTGATCGGCCCGACAAGGCGGTAGCTTTGAATACGAGTTCCATCGAACATCGAGTAGTAGTCGTCGTGAGTTTGCTGCTTCAGCTGGGCACCGGAGGTATCCGTTAGAGTTTGTATAACACCATTTGCCTGCTGTGCAGTGCCTCGAGATCTCTACTGTGCAAATTTGTTGAATGCTGCCCTGTAATTGATGGGAAGGTCGCGTGCAGTGCTGCAAAGAGTGTTGCAGGATCCGGTTCCGAAGACCACGGTTTCCATGATCGATCTCCGAGCTCAGAAGATGCTGCTTGACCTTGCTGACGGCCGCCTAAATGCATGCTCGTAATTGGCTTGAGCAGCAAGGTTCTTCAATGTGGAAGTGCGAACCAGCGACAATGTGAAAATGCGCCTCGAGGGTACGGTCTTCTGGCAGGTGAAGGACAGACAGTGCGATGTACATGATGTACGTTCCATCAGCCCAAGGCATGTGCGCCAGTGTGCTCCTGAGCTTGCTTCTGCACATTGGCTTCAGCCACAGGATGTCCTCACCATGATTGCGACGACAGCTGATCCTGCCGGTGATGTGTCGCAGCGGGCACGGAGTGGACTAGTATCAGCAGTAAGCCAAAACACCTTTGCAGCCGTTGCCTTAGTTCAGGCATGTGGGCAACATGTCGCAGGTTAGGTTGGGTTCGCAGAGCTGTTGCTTGGATTTGCTAGCTGCTAGGTCTTCATGAGTCAGTTCAACAACATTACTGCGCAGGCATGGGAGCAAGAGCTTCAATTTGGGCCTGATAAGTTACTGTAAGTTAGTTTTGGAGGAGGTAGAAGCGACCACTTGTGGGCAGTTTTGTCGGCATCAGGCTTACGCTCAGCAAGCAGCCGACGGCTTTTACAGCTCACGTGGTGTGGAGCTGCAAAGCATGGAGATGACCCGCTACGACATGGTAGATCAGGAGCTGACCCAGAGTGAATCCAGATCCGTCGAAGGCATCGGTGGTTGCTTCAAAATGTGCAACTCGCAAGCGAACGGACCGGAGGAGACTGCAGACATCTTGCAGCTGATCATCCAGGAAAGCACGAACCGCCGTGGTCTGAGATGTATCGCATTGGCAAGCGGGCATGGCTATAAGTTGCCGGTACGACCCGGCTGCAGCTTTGATCATCTCATAAGATGCCTGCTTGAGGCATCAACCGCTTGCAGCAGCAGGAGAGTGAGAACGATGTCTTAGCAGCAAAGCTGGTGGCAGACATTCAGCTGCTCGCAATGCATGTGTGACCGTGAGCTACTTAAACTCCATTCCCGGACTGTTGACCGAGGTTGGAGCAGCAGCGTACGGACTTCATCCGAACGCAGGTCCAGCCTTTCTCGAGTCTAGAATTTCTTGACGGAGGCTCTGTTCTTTAGCTCAAAGCGCTGACCAAGGCGAGTAACCAGAGGTTGGCAGCTCTCTTAGAAGGACAAGCTCAAGGAACTGAGCTCGTCGCGACCTCAGCTCACAACCAAGACTCCGTGCACACAGCGACATGACAGTACCGACGGAGGTGGAAAGTGCTGCAGCCTTCATTGATGGTTTGAACGAGACGGTGCCGGATGTGGCAGACCGCACAGAGTTGTACAGGCAGCACGCCGCACGCCGCACGCCGTGCAACTTCCTCCTCTTTGTGGCTTCGCCTGCGCCAGGATGCACCAGCTCCTGGATGCACGGAACGCGGACACGCAGAACTTGGCCTCGGGCCAGGCTGGGGGGGCGGGCGAGGGGGAGGCGAGAGGCAAACGGGCCCAAAGGGGCCTTGGGGGGGTGTCGGCGAGACCGATGGAGACCTTCAATTGGCCTGCTTTCGCAGGCCCAGCTCTTCCTCACACCTTCCAATCTCAATTTACAGCTGAGAATGGCAAACGACGAGCTGTAAGCTGTGAGTCTTCCCCTCCGCTTGTGATGTTGGTCCTTCTGCCATGCAGAACGATCTTTGCATAGTTCCAGCTTTGTGTTGTGCAGCAGCTAAGCTCTGCTGTTTCTGTCTTCATGCCCTGGTCTGAAACTAACTGTACCGGGGCACAGACACTCAAAGCACGAGTATGCAGGTTTCCTTGTTTTCACATTATTCAGCCAGCTTTAGCATTTTCTGACGCCGTGGCACAGCGTAGGCATGGTGCAACCAACTGTTTTGAGTGGAAGTCTGTCACAGCACACGACGTGGGCGGTTGGCAGCGCGCGTGCCCTGCCAACCGTGCCTCTTGCACCGCAAATTGACATGTTCTGCGTCCCAGTTCCAGCACCAGCGATCTAAATGCAGCGGCTTTTCAACTCTCACTGCCGTGATGCTGATGATTGTGATGGTGTTCGTGGGAGAGTGAGAACAAGTATTGCCGACACTGGTGACTGCAAGGAGTCAAACTGGCCAAGGCGAAGTGAGAAGCAAATTGACCCTTGCAGCTACATGCCGACCAGACCGGCAACGTTTACCCAGCTCCGAAGGAGCCTGCGGACGACATCGATGTAGAAGGAACGGAAAAAGGCCACCTACATTTCTTGGAAGCATGCCAAGCTTTCGACATCTTCTGCAGAGTTCCGTACAAACTGAAGTTCACACGTTGGATGTTGAATCGCATGCCCCGACGTTTGTCACGGAGAAATGCCGTGTAAACCTGGTGCAGCACGGGCGAGGGACGCGTGCCGATGTAGTTAACGGGACTCAGTTGTTCATTGGCATGTGCATCGTGGTTGCGCGTGATGGAGCACGACGAGTCTGGGCGACCGTTCTAGTGGTGTCATGGCACGGTCGGGGTTGCAGGGCGCAGCATCGGCCCAGCTGTCGCGTTTCGGTTGTCCGGTGTCCGCAGTGCGGCCAATCAGTTGATGAACACAGCCTCTTGCCAGGATTGAGCAGCATATTAGCTGCTAAACGGATGTGAGTCATGCGAACCGCAATGCTGATGTTCAGACTGTTCAAAATCGTTTGCTATTGACGAAATGCATGCTCCAAACCGGCATTGACTGCACCACGGGCAGGCTACATATGCCAGACACCCCAATCTCATGTCTTTAGATCCTTGAATTCAGCGAGTGAAACCCGCAAGCCGCCCGAACAGAGCGCCAATGTGTGTTTTATGATTTTTCATTTAACTAAATGCAGGTTCAAGGCAGATGTGCAGTTGAATGTTGTGCAGGTTTCTTTTTGCATTTTTTGCTGCACCCGCGGCGTTTGCGGACCAATCCATGCTGCCCATGCTACCTGGAGCAGTATTGAGTCTGACGTCTTTGCGGAGTATGGTGTGCACATACGTGCACCCACGAGACGAAGGACTTTGCAAACACATGACATGTGTCGGAAGCATGATGCTGGGGTGCAGCGACACTTAGCATGAGCAGGAAGTCATCGGACATTATCATACTAAACCGAAATTAGAAAGCCGAAACCAGTTGCTGCCAGATGCTTCGCTACAAAGCATGAGCTGTTGCTGCATGTGCTATTGCGTACAACCGAACCGGATGAATTCGGCCCAACTATGCAGTTCAGAGTCCTGAGAGACGGTGGAGCCAAGATAGCTGAGCTTCAGGCGGGCAGCTGTCACAGCACCTGTCTGCACCAGCATATTTCTGACACACAGAAGACTGTCTTGATCGCTGTAACGGTCAAGCATCGACAGCTGCGGCTGTGACGTAGTGTTCGAAGTGTCATCTTTGATTATCCTTGGGCCTTCACGGACATGGACATTGCTTCTCGCAGCTGTGCCCGAGGCAGGCTCCGCATGGGCAAGAAGGGGCAGGCAGCGGCGCCAGAGGCTGTCGAGGCTGGGGCAAGAAAGAGGGTTCCAACGAGGTGTGAGAGGCGCCGTCAAGCACGTTTGAGAGGATCCAACTGACGATGAGGAGGAACGAGAGGCCGGGTTGTGCTGAGAGAAACTTCCTGAGCCGATGTCTTGGTAGTGCTAGATTCTAGATAGTGCGAGTGTGAAGTAGAAGGAGTTTTGCAGCCGGTGCAGGTGGATGCTCCACTTCCACCCGAGGCAGTTTGGCCCCTGGCAGACGAGAAAAACTCAGACAGGGCTCAAACAGCGGGATTCACCCGAAGGCCTCCAAGATTCTTGAGAGCTTGGACTGGCAGGCGCAGTTTTTGCGACAGAGCGCTCAGCGCCGTCCAGCTTGCTTGGTATCTCTGCCGCTTTTGACAGGTTTGCGTGATGCCATCTACGCGGCAGAGATATTTCTATTCTAAGACAAGGCGCCCCAGCTCTGCAGCTATGCCTCGGATTTTCTGCCCCGACTTGTAGGCGGCAGGCACGAGTGCAGCCGCCCTACCATTCCATTTTGGGCTTGGAGGACCAAACCTCGTATCATCGCAGTTGGCTTGGTCGTACATGGTCTGGTACATGGATGGTGCAGCCGCGAGCATCATGAGCAGGTGAGCAGTCAAAAGCCACATTAGCATACACACTTCTCTTCACCTGCATCTTGTTCAGACATACACAGAATACAGATAATATGAGAGTCCTGCAAGTGTCGCCAGCTCATAGTTGGCCGCACTCTTCAGGCCCAGCAGACCCTTTCGACGGCTCCTGAACCGGTCGGATTGCATCTCTCAGGCAGCAATCGCTGCACAACCAGCCGCCACGGGCAGCCTCCATGCTTCCTGAAGGTGCAGAGATTTCGCCAGGCCGCCGGGCCATTTTGGTAGCTTGTGTTTCTGTCTCTTGTTCTGAAGGCTCATCTGCTGTCGGCCTGGATTTGTGCCTGTTTGTGTTGTCGGGGCCTCAGGCTGTTTGGTGGAAGCTGGGCTCGGCGGCTCGTAGGGTTTTGCTCCCGGTTGGTTGGCTTACCAGGGCCCTTACTGCGCGGACATGGGCTTCTGCAGTGTTGGTCCGCCTCGGCCTGGAGGTGGTTTGAGATGCGTCTGTTCTCCCAAAATCTCGATTTGCACCCAGATTTACCTAGCTGATTGTCCGTTCAGATAGGACTCTGCAGGTGCTTGTATGTGTAGAAGCAGCCAAGCTGGCGGGGGTGTGGTAACATGATGCAACACTCGATTGCATCTCCCCAGAAGGCGGTAGCCAAAAACACATTGTTTCTCCTGTTGAAGGAATGCTGAACGATCGATGGCTTGTCCGACCGAAGCTTGCGTACAGTCTCATGAGTCTGGACCACGACGAGCATATTAGTGAGCACATGCATGCAGCTAGTCTCTAGTTCCATGCATCGACATTCCGAAGCACCGTGCGGATTCGGGCATGACCTTCTGCCCTCCAAGGGCCAAACATCGTTCATGTCTCCACAAACACTTCCGTACATAGTCCTGGTCAGCAGGGTGCAATGTCGCAGCATCCACAATTGTAGACAAGAGCTTTGACTGACTTCGAAAGCTCCGCCGAATATGAGCCTGGTTCCGGAATACTTAGTGGAACCCTCACTGTAACCTGTGTTGCCATGTGTTGCCACAGTCCTGAACATATTCCCAAAGCATGGTAGCAACTTCGGAGAACGCAACTGCTTAAGGAGGAGGAGGCAAAGAGGAGCCTCTCTGAATCCAGCTGGGACAAAGCTTGCTTTCCACTGCTGCCGGTAGCAAAACTAGTTTGGAGTACAGCCAACGGTTAAGTGTTATATTGTGCACAGCAGGAACAGCTGTGGACCCGTACTGTACTTGCGGGAGCGGAGACATGTGGCCAGTGAGAACTTACTTAGCTTCTGCCTGCCTCGCCCCAACTGCTGCACAGTCGGAAAACCAGTGCAACCAGTGCAGTTCATTGCTGTTATGCTTCAAGTCGCAGGCAGAGAGCCTGGAGTGAAGATGCAGATGTGGTGTTGGCCCCAGTGCGGCTTACATGAAGAAGCAGTGGCTTCGAAGTCTGCATAGTGTATATTGGCAGGCCAACCTTCGGAACTGCCGATCTTAACAAGAGCTTGCAGAACCTCTTCGTTGTTCTGTTTCCGCGGCCAGCCCAGGTAACAAGCCTGCTGGTACGAGATGTTCCTTCACAACTGGTGCAGGGAACCATGGTTACAACGCAACCATCTGAAGTAGAGGTAGCAAGGGCAAGCCTTGAAGAGCAGATTTCTCAAAGCTACGATGGCAATGTTCTTCTGCTTTGTAAGCAGTGTCGTTCCACGGTGGCAGCTTTGAGATTTTGTACAGGCAGCTCCAGGCACTTCAACCCCCACGGATATCTGTTCCATATCGGCGAGTTTTCAAGGGCGGCTGGAGTGAAGGCTGTCGGTGAGGCCTACGACACAGACTCATGGTTCGAAGGGTATGCATGGCGCATGGGCGTATGCCGTCATTGCCAGACCCATCTGGGCTGGCGCTACGAAGGCGCCGTGGACTCTGGCACATTTTGGGGCTTGATCTGGAACCGCATGCTGAAGGCTCGCCGGCCAGACCGCTAGAAGGCTAGACTGTTTTGGCTTCTGCGATGCCTCTAGATGGGCAGCAGACTGGTGACTGGTGCTGTTCTCAACTCGACTCCTTCTTCATGGTCTGGCTGAAGCGCTGCCGTTGACACCGAGCGCGTTCGTGACAAGGCGTGTATCCGGGCAGAAACTCCAGCGAGCAAGGAAGACTTCTGCCGCTGACAACATGTTTCTTGCGTCGACACTGAGAAGTGCATCGCATTGCTCTGCGAACAAAAACGTCTGCGTAAGTCAGTCTGGTTGCCAAACGACACCTCATAGCCCTTGCAATTTGCATGCACGCTTCGGCAAACGACCACCTTATCCGCACTGAGCAGCCGACAGCAACGCGTAGCGATATTTTGCAGGAGGCCAACTTCCGAAACCTGACCAAAGACGATCTCTGGAAGGACGGTTGTAGTCCGTCGGGTGACTCCAGAGACTGAATACCCCAAGACTTGTATTGCAGATTCTTTGAGGCGTTCTTTGAGAAGCGGGTGCAGTACAAACGTCGAGAGGCCAACGGCTCGCTCTCGGAGGACGCTCTACCTTGTCTCTCTCTAGCTGGTGAATGGCATTGAATGATGCCCAGCAGAAAGCATCATTCGTTGTAGTGTCTCGTGATTGCAACTGCGGTCAGCAGCTGCGGGCTGCTGGCTGGGACCCGACATGCGACGTGAGAGGAGCTAGAGAATTCCAGCGACCAAGTAGACTGGGACTTGGTGATGGAGGCTCGGTGGTGAAGCGATGCAAGATCATAGCTTAGTGATGGGTTCCTATCACTGCAAGGCATTCCATGTCCTGTCCGGGCACGAGGCATGTCGAAGGAGAGTTCGAGCAAAGGCGGCGATGTTACGACGTTTCCGAGGCGCGCTCGGCCTACGAGCAGGGCAACCTGGCCTCCCATGCACAGCCCAAGGCTTAGCGGCGGTTTGCCTCTGGGAGCCTCTGTGTTCGGATGCTTCCGAGGCGACAGCTTCTTGGGCTTCGGGCCCTGGCCTCAGGGGCAGTGCAGACAGACTCCGGTCTCCTCTGGTCTCTAGATCCATGCGGATAGCAGTACTGTATATCGATGTACTTGGACTTGGGCTTGGGCTTAGTGTATGATCCGACTGCGACCTCACTATTCGCACTCTCTGAGGTCATGCACGAAGCCAGGGTGCAAGAGGAGCAGAGGCGACAAGCCAAGGACTGCAAAATCCCACAAGTAAGCTGTGGTTTTTGGGAGGAGTCTGTGCCAGGAGGCTGCAGCTGTAGAAGATCACGAATGACTTCTCCCCGAGGGCTGCGCAGTGGTGCATTGCACATGTTGGATGCAGAGTTCGCCGAAGCTAATCAAGCTTCTCAGCTTTCATGTGTCCGGTCTCACACGCTTTGTCTCACACGCTTTGTCTCACGAAGCATCGTGGTTTGCGAAAAGAGGAAGAGAAGCCTTCGACACGGCCGATGCTGTTGGCCTCCTTGTTTAGAAGAGGAAGTGACGAAGTCGACATACGTCGACGGACCTATGGACCTGTCTCGGGCTACCGTTTGCTCAAAGGGGTTGGTCTCGGCGCGGAAGCTTTGATGTGGCCTTGGCCTGCTCCGGCTCCGGCCACCTGACAAAGTCTCGGGGTCAGCTGCTGAGAGAGCTCACGGAGCATCAAGAGCCCTCGTTGCCTTTCGCCGTTTCCTTTGTTTCGGTGTGCGGATGCTTCCATGTCCACCCTTGCACTTCCAGGCATCAGATGTTTTTCAGAACTGCAGCGGCGCACTCGGATGTCGCAATGTTCTTTGTAGAACCCGGGATCGCCAGCACTACGCAAGCACGGTGATCGGATTGTTACTTGTACTTGGAAGTTCGCATTTCTGCAAGACAGCGTTCAAGGGTCGAACAATTCTGTGAGTCTGCAGTCGATGTAGCGAGGCTGTTGTCTGCAGCCTTTTTTTCTCCACCAATGCTCAGGCCCGAGAAGCTTGCGAGTTGATTAGTCTTTCGGCGGCACATGAGGGCATTTTGGCAGACACGGGCAGGTGATGGACGACTACGAGTACGACCCAAACGTCCCAGATGAGCCCTTTGACACAGCTGCCAAGGTGGCGCTTGCGTGCTTAGCTTCGCAGCTGCCCAGTGGTTAATGTCTCACTAATGGTCTCGCAATGGAGCGCAATCCTAATTGCTTGAGGGAGTGTCCGCCTGGCTCAAGGACGAGGTGGTCAGCGGCCCGGTTCATTTATTTCATTGTCACTTGCAAGCTTGGCTGTTGCCCAGGTTGTGCCTAGAAAGAAGGATGGTTGGCAAACGGCGTTCTGCAGCTGTGCCCGGGGCCTTCGGCATGCCACGACAATCATGCTCGACTGACCTTCGCTGACAGAAGCTGGCTGCGCTGGTTTTCGCTTGGGAGCTGCTGAGGTTCAGAACTCAAACATTGCTAGCTGGTACCAGGCGCTGCTATCCAATTCTTGTGAATGTCGCCTGCACTCCAAAGCATGCTCCATGCACCAAGACCCTTGCTGTTGGGTATCCGATGCCAGCTGCCGGTCTTGCAGTCGCGGTGCTGTTGCTGCTAGTCCGCTAGTGTTTCTGCTGACGCCTTCACCGCCTGCAAAAGTGTCGTTTTCCGTCAACTTCTAAGATGCGTGACTGCATCACTGTTCAGTTCGCCTCTTCGATGTACGTGGTCGACACTTGCAGCCACGAAGACGGTTTCGTTCTGCGTTCCGGCCACATGCAGGACATGGAAAGGGGTTCGAGCAAGCTTCCGGCAGAAGTCTTGCGTAAGTCTGTAATAGGTTGGGGTTTCACACCTGCTCAGGAGTTGATCGGATGTCTCTGACATGTTGGCAGATTCTTGTTTTGGTTTACAATGCTTTGGAGGAGCGCAAGCACCGGAAGTTGTGAGTTTCAGGCTTTCCGAGGTTAGTTTCGGTGCTGAGTTTCGGGGCGGAGCTTCGGAACATGGTCGACGCAGTTTCTGATCAGGACGTGGTCAGTTTCGGTCTCACGCCATGGGTTTCAGGCCCATGCCTGCAAGAATCGGACTGAAACTGCCCGTCCCGAAACTATTTCCCTGCTGTGCCGAAACTGGGCGCCGACGCTATCCCACTCTGACCCGAAACCTCCGGCAGCACCCCGCAAGGACCGCCATGTCCATCCTATGCAAGCAATGATGGCTTGCGACACGCTGAAGGTCGTGTCGTGCGCCTGAGAACATTTTCGGGCCAATCAGGCATCGACAACCACTCAAGCATTGATTGACTGCAGACGGTCGGCATTTCACGTCCGCAGGGGTAGCAGTCTTATTCCACGCAGCATGTGATTAGCTGCTTGCAATCCGGAAGTCTCACGTTACTGTCTTGTTTGATCGGTGCTTCCGGAGTCAGAACAAGCCGATGGTGCAGCATAATCTTTAGGCTGCTTGCTTCTGAAGAAATCTTGAAGCCTCGAGTATCTAGCGACGAAACGTCGCTACTAGCAGAGACTTTCATTCGGGTAAAGCTTCGCCGAGCATGCTGTTGTGGACACGCCGCAGGTACTGCTTGTCGCACCAGGCCCCAGAAGCACTCCCTATGTGGAAACCCATGTGTGTCTTAATTGAATCATCAGCTGCTTGGTGCAGAGGGTGATCTCCGATGTTGAGCTAAGGCGATCATGCCCACTACACCGTTCCATCGTGCGACGTGACGGCCTGAGATGCGCATCCTTCTGTCGCTTTTGCCTGCACACAGGTACCATGAACCTGCGCAAGCTAGGAAGTGGAAGTGCTTCCTGCAGAATGCAGCAGCTTGATTCCGAAGTGCCAAGTGCCACCCCGGCATACCGACATTGGCCGTGGATCAGGTCACCTGCAGCTCAGCAGTGCGCATTGCTGGCAGTTTGGCTGGGGCTCTGGTGCTAGGCCATCTGCCAAGCTAGTTCGTAGGGGCACATCACAATCTCGGTCTCTGTCACCCGAACTCACCCTGACTCGCCCTAACTCGCGCCGATCTGTAAACAAGGTCCCAGGCCCCAGGCGGCGTCAGGTCCAGGACGTGTCCCCCGCTTGGCACACAAGAGCGCTACTTGTATTCACTATTCACCGGTCTTAAGTTTCGTAAAAACCAGGGGGGTCAAGCCGGACTGGAACCGTCGAGATCTCTGCAGCCTGCCCACACGTGGACAGAGCTCGGAGTCCTGAAGCGGTTTTTGCGGCATTTTCAAGCCGACAACGGTTCGAAGAAGCAACTCCAGCTCCAAGATGGAGAAGAGGAGCACCCGGCGTAGGGGAAGGAGAAGGATCGAACCGGGCGGAGTGTTAGTCAAGTTGGCTACGCCTGCGTTGAGTTCAGCGGCCATGCATTAGGAACATACCCCAGCTGTGTTCGGCTGAGTCGGGGCGCAGCGGTGAACGCGCTCTCGGTTTAGGTTTTAAACATATTGGGGGTTCATGGGTTTGCTGCGATGTCGTGCTGCAGCAGCATAGATGTATGGAGGGCTTGATACTTTGCGACATGCAGCCATGGCATGAGTACGGATGGCCCGCGGCCAAACCCCCTAACCAATTCATTTTCGGAAAACTCCGCAGGAAAGAAGGGCAGATCAGACGATTCAGATGGTCTCTCGGGCTTCAAAAATTCTGAACCTTCTCGCAAAAGTCACCCACCCACCTCTAACGGCCTCTTTTGGGCGCTCTCAGTGCCTCTAAATCGAGCGTGGATGTCATTCCCGTGACTGTGCGGGGGCAGGGCGGAGAACTGGGTGGCTTTGAGTGGCCCTTTGCCCTGTGTGTAGAGCGTGGCTTGGAGCCTTAGCCTGCCGCTCGTGATACAGGTAACCGACTTGCCCGTCATGCAAGCTTGCCGCACATCACCGTCGTTATCGTGATGAGGATTTCACACTCGAGCCTAGTAGTTTTGATGATGCGAAACACACGGAAGATAGGGTCTTCTGTTCTCGGTTGGAAGAATCTGGAAGACATGTGTGTGTTCTGTGTGAGCTTTCCTGTCTGATTTTGCCTGTCAGTCGCTTGGGTGTGGTGACCGTGGTGGTCTGAAATGGTTGCTCCTGATCGCAAATCTTGGAGTGGTGTCACTTCCAACTGCCCCAACGGGGGAAGGGAGGTTGGGCCCAGCTTCACAGCTGCTCGAGATAGCCAGCTCAAGCTAAAGCTCGGAAGTAGCCCAACCTTGCCGCAACAGCCTTTGGCCGCATCTGTCCAACAACGTTATGACGTGACCGTAACTGTATCCAAGAACATACGATGTGGATGACCTGTTTGGGAACGTTTGGTCAAAGATGCAGCCTCATGCACATTGCGACCATGGATTAGCTGAGCGTCGCAGACAAAAATCGATTGGTGCACGGGTGCCGATTCCAGGAATCTGACATAACCTTACCCTGAACTCGGACATGAGACTGACACAATGCCTTGTGATGCCTTGCACTCGAGCTGCTAGCAATTGGCTTGAATCTCGCCGTTTTCGGGTGGACTACTCATGTTATGCTGGAGATCACCCACCGCAAGCATTCGCCAAGTTCTTCCTAGACATACTCCGCAAGGTCTCTTGTCATGACTTCGCCCTAGTCCTGCATTGTATGGCTGCCATGGCTGACGCCGTCACGGATGATGTGGCGGACGCGGCCCAGGCACAGCGAAGCAACGAGTTAGGCTTCACACGTCCTGGTCCGAACCTCGCCCGCGGCTGGGACGTGGGAGGTTGTGCCTTCCAAAACAATGAAGAAGCTGCCGCTCGGCCCACCGCAAGCCGGCAAAAAAGCCCTGCTCTCAACTCACTCTTCTGTAAGGCAAAACTGCTGCCCTGGACTTCGAAAGAGAAGCCGCGAGCTTCGGTTTCGTCGGTCGAACCCCTTCGCTCCTGTGCAACTTTTTGCCAAGGCCAGTATTTTGACCAATGGCTCAGCTCCAGATGGTCTCTTTCGCAGAGTGTCGGCACCTGTGACTTCCTCTCGTACCCTCGTGCTTGCTTCCCGAAGCCTTGGTGACTGAAACCTTCAGGTCTGCCTTCTCACCGTTTTTGTGCTTAGCTGCTCGTGGCCCAGCTCTGCAATGCGAGAATCGGGAGGTCAAGGAGGTTCAAGACTTCTCCGCCAGGCTCCGGCAAATTCGTCCTGGGTGAAGTCGTTTACACAGAGAGTGCCACACTGAATCATATGCCTACAAGGGTGCATTGCAAAGCCTCTTGTTCTTCCAAAACAGTTCGATTCTTGAGGTATCAACTACTTCTCCTACCAGGTAGTCACCAATGCAGCATCGCTGCTGTCATCTCTGACGGTCTCCTTCACTATTGAAGGCACAAAGGAACGGGATGCTTTTGGGGAATGCCTCTGCGTGTTCTGTGAGGCTGCCATGCATACCAGAAAATCTTCTCTGGAAAAGCGCTGTGGCGATTCACGGGCGTGTCCTTCTTGTTCACTTGTGCCAGTACCTGAATCGCTGTTTTGCTTGCAATTGTGCAGAGAGTGTACTGTGAACGCAGTAAGCATGAAAAGGCCAGTGCGTTGGTGGCGCTCTCTCGATGGGCTGGTACCTCCAATGTTCAGATAGTGACCGTGCCTCCCTCTGAGACGTAGTCCTTTGATTCATGCGG